TATACTGAAATTCTGACCATAATCAATCTTTATTTTTGTCCAAATCATCTCATTATACTTCAGGGACCATTCTAGAATTTTATCAAATTTTTAGGGTTAAATGGTAATTTTTGTCAAATTGAAGGACCAAATTAAAAGTGTTAAAATTTTATAACTATACAGGAATTCTGCCCATAATTTATCCTTTTTTCTGTTCAGAATCTCGAAATAGGCTCCTGGGACCAATCTGTAAATTTTCCAAAGTTTGGGGACTAAACTATAATTTTCCAAAATTGCGAGACCAAATTGAATTTTCTTCATCTTCAACCTAAACCCCAGAATTTTCACAGATTACCTAGTGTTATCCCCTGATTTCTAACACAAATTCACCATTCAAATAAAAATCATAACTCAAAATCAGCATTTTTATCTACAATTTCTCAAATTCAACTTAACAATCTATTACCCACAATAATCAACTCATAACATGCAACTTAATTCATCAATTAACCCAAAACACAAATTTTCAAAACCCTAACATTTATCAAAACTGAAATTAAAACTTAATTAACATATATTTACACATAGTCTTACCTTTAAACTTATTTCCTTCAACTCCTTTTTATTTTTCTTCTAATTTCTCTCTTTTCTTTTTTTCTTCTTTCTCCCTTCTCTCTCTTGCCGATTCTATCTCAAATTTCAGATCTCTTCTTTTGTTTTTTTTTTTACTTTCTATTTATATTTATCAAGTTTTATTAAATTACTACACTACCCCTTATTCATTTATACCCATACTTTAAGTCATTAAAGGTTTTATTGTATTTTCTTACTCATTTATTCAAAACTTCACATCCTGTTTGGGAGGACCACGATGGCTGCTGCTCTCCCATGTGAAAGGACCATGACGGATGCTGTCCTGTCTTAGAAGACCATAACGGATGCTGGCCTGCTGTTTGAGAAGACCATGACGGATGCTGGCCTGCTGCTTGGAATGACCATGTAGATTGTTGCCCTGTCATTTTACTTGCCCATATCAATGATTAAAGAACAGGATGAACAGGATTCAATGAGATTTAAAGAAGATAAAAGCATTACAATTTAAAAGAAGTTATTATTATAAACATTTAAAGAAAAACAAAATCAAGTAGAATCATAGAAGTTAAAGCTTCAATTGGATGATAACTACCTTGATAAGGTCTTAATGGAGGTTGCCGATCCATATCACGTAATCCCGATGGATGTATCTGATCCATATTATGGAATTCTGATGGTTGTTTCCTATTATAAGATCCTAGTGATGGCAGCCCTGTCATCTGAGGAGATCCTAATTGTGTCTGTCCTGACATTGGATGGACACCAAAAGACTCAGATCTTGAAATCTGAGGTTCACTTGAAATTGATCTTCGTGTCATTGGAGAAGGCCCTAATGGCTGCCCACTTGCCATTTGAGCAGGTTCATGTTGAGAAGACCATGAAGATTGTTGCCCTGCCGTTGTAGTTGCCCGTATCAATGATTAAAGAAACAGAATTAACAGGATTCAAAGAGATTTAAAGAAAACAAAAGAATTACAGCTTAAAAAAGTTAATTATTATAAACATTTAAAGGAAAAAAAAAAGAATAAAGTAGAACGCAAAATAAGATTTAAAGGGGAAAAAAAAACGGATCATAGTAAAATAACATTTAAAGCTTCCATTGGATAACCACTACCTTGATAAGGTCTCAATGGATGTTGTTGATCCATATTAAGGAATTCTGATGGCTGTTGCCTATTATGAGATTCTAGTGATAGCTGCCCTGTCATCTGAGGAGATCCTAATTCTGTTTGTCTTGACATTGGATGGACACCAAAGGACTGTGGTCTTGCAATCTGAGGTTCACTTGAAACTGATCTTCCCATCATTGGTGAAGGCCCTAATGGCTGCCCACTTGCCATTTGAGCAGTTTCATGTTGACTTCGAGGCTGTCTTGCATAAGCAGGTCTTGAAATGTTAATCCACTTACTTTCATCCAAAACACTCTTAATCTCACTAGCCCGTCCAGCATTTCCAAAAACCTCAATTAAGAATTCCTTCGATGCAGGTGGAATACCAACACCGTATTTAATCATTTGGTCCAGCATATCCTTGCTTGCATCTAATTCACCAGCACTACAAAGCCCTCGAACCACAACATCATAGATTGAGGAGTCTGGTTTAGGATCTTTGTTTCCCATTTTGGTCAAAATCTCTGCAGACTCCACTTCCTTGCCATTCTTAATCAGCTCACCAAATACCCTAGTCCCAAAGCTTGCCACAACTCTGAAACCAGCATCTGCCATTTTATTGAACATTCTCAAAACATCATCAATTTCTTCCCTCTTTAAATATGCATTAATTAAAGTCCTAAAAGTCACGACATCAGGGGTCAGGCACTTGGCCAACAATGCTGCAAAAAACTCCTCCGCATGCTCCATCACCCCATTCTCGCAAAATCTAGTAATAATATTGTTGTACCCCGCAACATCCATTTGAAAAGGCTTAGACCCTGACTTTGTCCCCACCTGTTTAAATGTATGAATTGCCTCCTCAAACCCTGCTTCCTTGAAGCACTCATTCACCATTATATTAAAAGTATCAGAGTTTACCGCTTGGTGAGTCAGTGGGGTATGATTATCCAGCATATGCTCAAACAAAGCACAAGCAGCCTCTTTCTTCCCGTATTAACCAAAACCTCCAAAATGGTATTACAAGTAGCAGGCACCACCTTAAAATTCTTAACCTGCCACGACTTGTAACTTCCCATAGCCTCCTTATCCTTCCCTTGCTTAAACCACCAATCCATAAACGTGGCATTAATCACTCCATCATAAACCAAGCACCTCTCTTTCAACTCATCAAAAAACTCATTAGCCTTCTCCAAGTTCCCCAACTCCAAAAACCCTTTGATAACATTATTATAAACCAGCGAATCTGCACCATGCCCTTTAGCCAACATCTCCCTCAACAAAGCAACGGCATCCTCAATCCTCCCAGCATCAATCAACCCTTTAGTCAAATGCCTATAGGTCACTGATGACGGTGAAAACAGAGCTGTCTCAGTTATACGCCTATAAATCTCAAGCCCCAAATCAACTTTTCCCTCATCACAATGCGCATTGATCAAATTATTATAAGAAACAACATTAGGCACTATATTATGTTTTTCAAAAAAGAATTTAAATAGCGAACTGCATCATCATATCTGCATATCAATCACAATACAATCATTAAACATCACAAATTACATTCACAACAATAACTCACAGAAAACAGAAATGCCTACAATCTATAATTTAGTTTTCTCTGTATCAAAGAATGTACCTTTTCGCGCGATACATAGCAGCTATGATGGCATTGCAAGTAAAAACAGTGGGGCGAGTTCGGGAATAAACAGAGTTGCGAGCGAAAAGGGAAGCAGTGTCGAGATCATAAGCGCGGATTAGGGATTGGACCCGATTGTGAAGGTTAAGGCGATGTCCAGTTAACGCGTTTGTGGAGTCAGGAAGGCGAGGAGCGTTAGGGTCAGGTGGGGGAGGGGGGGGCTTGCTCTGTATTGCTTGGAATGGAGGGTCGATTCGAAGACGACGCCTTCTTTTCCTACGATCTGCTGCGGCTTCTTCGGCGGAGGAGAAGGCGAATGTGCGGGACGGTGGAAGGAGTGGGGAGGTCGAGATTGGAGGGCTACGGTTTGGGGTATGATCGAGGGGAGAAAGACTGAGGTGGTGAAAAGCACGGATTAGAGGGTGATTGTTGAATGTTGAAGTGGCGGAGGAGCGGCGGAGGAGGAGGAGGAGGAGGAGATAGAGGGAAATCTTTTGGTGTTTTTGAAAGAGGAAGTGGCGGTGGAGATGACACTGGTGGCAGAGACTAGGGAAAGGGTGGTGCGAAGCAGAAGAGAAGAGGGTTGAAGGCTTAAACCCTGTAGTGAGGACTTAACATCAACCCCTGGAAATGAAACAGCTTACGGTGTCATTTAGGCTGTGTTTGGTTGTTGTTATAATATATATACATATAACACTAATATTTGAGCAACCTTAAAAAGCTAATCCCAAAAGGCCGATAAATAACTTGTTTGTTTTGGTATTACGATGGAAATTATTTTAAAAAAATAATTTTTTATGTTTTATATTTCTATATTTTTAATATTAATATATTAAAATTATCGAAAAAAAATCCTAAAAAAATATCAATTTAATATTATTTTTTTTTCATTTTAAACACGCTCAAACATGATGAGTTGAAATTTTAGTTCTCATAGAATCTAGCTGTAAAAAGAATTTCTTGGTCTCTAACATTTATTGGCAATTGTTTTTTAAAAGAATTTTTATTTGAAAATATATTAAAATAATTTTTTTATTTTTAAAATTTATTTTATTACATCTCATTAAAAAACCAAGTCTAACACAGATTGATGAACAAAGCTTGGATAATAAGAATCTCATTAAAAAACCAAGTCTAACACGGATTGATGAACAAAGCTTGGATAATAAGAAGACAGATTTCAATAAATCAAAAATTATTCTCAAGATACATCAAGAAAGGTGTCCAGAACCACTCCTTTCAAAACCAAATCTGTAAGAGTCTCCAAACCCAATAGTATTTACACCATTTAAGGAATCAGACCCCTATCTATGGAAACCACTACTGACACAATGGGTGTATCACCCATTCCTTTTTTAGCTGGGGAAGATACAGACCAAAGAATCATAACGTTGCAATAATCTCTTTCAATGCTGGCTTGCGAAACATTCACCCCGTTTCTTCCGATCCGATCATCGATCACGCCTGAGACTTGGCTGTTTAGAGATCTTCTTGCATCCCCAAGAAAATGTGTCAGCATTAACATTCACTTGATAAACACAGTTCAGTATCTGGTTTGGTTGGCGAACTGTTGATATGGATCAACCCAGCATCTGTCCTCATTCACCGCATCTTCCCATCTCTTGTGGAAGATATTCATCTCAACATATGATTGTGTCCTCACCTGCACAAGACAATAGCACACTAAGTAAAATGGTTGAAGGTAAGTAAAGTATATAATGAGCACAGAGATTGAGGAGGAGGAGAGTTAAGTTTGCAAGATCTGCAGTTCATTTGATCAAAAAGAAACCGAATCTACTAAATTAAACAAGGCAAAAAAAAAAACAAAACAGCATACTTGGGGTCTTCTATCAACTTCCTCAGACTCGGACAGTAGTACCTGCAACATGCAAGACATGAACAGCCATAATTTGCTGGCAGAGAATCCTGGTGTGTCATTACAGAAAGCTCAGATAACTCCATTAAGCTACCGTGTTTCCAAAGTACTATTTGCAAGAAAAATGAACTTGGGCATTAGTTGTAAGAAAAATGAACCTGGGCATCACAATTTAACAGCATGAACTTCATAGTACAGTGCAATGGAAAATCCTGGTTTGTTCAAAATCATTGGAGCAGATTATCCAGCCTATTGAACTGGTGATTGCTATTATGTTTTAATCATATAATATTTATAATCTTGTTTTGGATGAATTCAATGATGTTTGTTTCGTGTAATATAATTTCATGTACCAACATTACAACACACCAAAGCACGGCATCAAAGGAGGCTTTAAACCACACAAAGGTCTAACTAATACAAGCAGCAACTGTCAAACCACAAGAGTTTGTAAGACTAGACTAGCCTTTGCTAATTAATCCAAGAACGAAGAGAACAAGAAGAAAGAATAAGCAGTTATAGCATCCCACTCCTACAATTATGCTATCATAAGGAATATAAGAAATACTTGCCTCACTTCCATTAAAGACGCCAAGGGTCGAAAGACCAAGATGAACTACATACTCAGCATCAACCACGCCAACATTTTTTGTCCAGTCACCCTAAAAACTAGAAACATCACTACCATAACCAAACAAAAAGATCCTTTTTTTTTCTGTTGACAAGCAGCAAAACCAAGGGAATCACAAAATGAATAGGAATTAAAGGGTTACTTGTGCACAATGACCAAGTTTTCTATCCAGGCCCCACGCATGAATCAAGTCATTCTGCAAAGATTAAAAAGCAAATTAGAGACGATGGAGCAGCTAGGTACTACTTGATCTGTAAAGCACAAAAGTAAATTGTGATTAATTCCACAGCCAAGCCAAGCATGGGATGTAAATTTAAAGGGCAAGCACTCTACTCTAACATAATGATTAAGAAATAAAGAACACCATCATTCTATTTGGATCCATTCAATCTAATTAGCAATATACCTCTTCTTACTGAGACAAAGTGGTCAAGATTTCAATTTGTTGGAAATTGTTAACTACTGAAGTTCACGATTTGGTTGAGTGCCACAAACACACCCATCATTGTCATGATATGGAAAAGATTCAATAATTCAAAGGTTTGATACCTGGATCATGTACCATGTACATCGCCAAGCTGCCTTTGAGAAGACAGGTGCCATCATTTCCACCCATCTGCATAGAAAGATTTTTTTTTGCAACATAAACACTGTGTACTTCTTGTTGTTCAATTAAAAAAAATCTCTTTCCAACAAAAAGGCTACTCTTCTACAACAAAATTCACAATTATAATGATATTGCAATTACAAACTACAGAGTTGGTCATTATTTAAGATTTACCCTGTGCACGGAGGTAAAGTGCTATTGTTATAACACCTTCTGTTGCCTTTGAGCTTCAATATTTTCCTGTTGAATAAAAGAGTTAAGATAGAAGTCTATCCACTATCCACAACTAATTTCCTGAAATGAAAAGCATCTATACTGGACAATCATACAGTACAATAATAACAACCACAGATTACAAGGACTTCTCTTCTAGAAGCCTAGGCTCCCCTATCCCCCTTCTTTGATAAATATCCTATGGATTCATGATGCACACATGCGTAAAGCCATCACAATGCGAAGAAAATAGATTTCATTGCTAAACGCACAATGGAGTCAGAATTGTCAGTCTCATGATGAAGCTGAGCCAAACAGATTATGATGATTCTCTAATTCCTACAATACCCTGGAATAATTTTCAGTGTTGGCATGCTCCTAAACCTTAAAGAGCCCTGGACCTACTATTATGAATTCTCATAGACAGGTAGAAGTAAGCATTAGAAGATTAAATGACTGCACCTTTCACAGATATTCCAATTATTTAAAACAATCTGACCAGGGAAAAGAACAGCCCAAACAGAAGGAAGAAATTTTAAGAAGAGAAGAAATACTTCACATCTTAATAGTCAACTTCATTACCACAAATTCACAATGGTTGATTACTGGATAACCTAGAAAAGTAGGTAGCTGAAACAGAATTGGATTAGTTCAAGCAAAATTTGTGTTTGATTCAACTAGTAATGCTTTTACATTCTTAGTAATTTCAGTTTTGAGTGTGCTTGAAGGTCTTGGATAGTAACAATAAAAGCTCTTCACAAACAAAGATGCCAAGAAGAATTTTATTAAAATGTTCGTATCCAAGTAAACTCCATTGCAATGCTCTTCATCTGCTCAACAGAATTTGATGGCATACAATAGCTAGAATGATCAGTGCAACCATTTAAATCATTCCATAAAGGAATTTATTCCAATTTACACAAACCTATGCGCCCTGGAGTTCCTTGTACGTGTAGTAATTGGATTATGAATGGTAGATCTAGCAGGATCAAGTGCTGGCTGTGATACTTCTAGTCCCTCCTCTTTAACAATTGACAGATATCTGCAATGAATTTAACATGTGTGATACTTTTGATGAAATCACAATCCACAAAACCACTTGTAGTCCTATTCAAAAAGGAAAAGAAGAAAATAGAAGTGCTCGTCAGCTTATATCACTAGGTATTTAAGATGTTTAACTTGTTTGACCTAAGTCAGCAAGGGCATTCAGTAGTGAAAAGACTCCTTTTCCATTACAACAAGAAAATAACATGCGTGACAGGAAAAATGCATCCAGACAAGGAGCTTTCACTGTTTTTGAGAATTTCACTAGATGTGAATATTTAACTCGTATGTTAAAAAGCATGGGCACCATGACCATTGAAGATGGCCATCCAAGTAGTAGTTAGTAAACATTGGGATACCGTTTTTAGGAAACAAAATGGAGACACAGTACCACTTTTCATTTCCAAGAATGCTTACCGTCTTGGATTAAAATTCTCAACTCCAAGGTCTTCATCCCAAAGAAATATATAATTGTATTCAGCAACTATATCAGGATGCAGGAAACGCTTAGCAAACCACCTGTGCAATCGAAGTAACTGTTCATCTAAGGATGGATGATATGAGATGGTATAAACAATATTTAAATACACACGTGCACATCAACATGAACAAATGCATGGCAGTGTGTCCTGCAAATGCATATAAACATATATGTGCCAATCTGTGTGCACATGACCAATTCCATTTGTGATTCAAGGAAACATCAATTTGGGATGAATCAAGCTTACCATTTTGTTTGATTTACTGCAGATACATGGATGGCACTGTCACTCCATGATAAATCTCTCCATTTGTCCACAACACCATCATAATGAAAAAGCATCACAACAAAATCACTTAAAGGAAACTGCAGGAAAAATATATATATCAAGTACAAATATGCACTAGATATTTGAACACCAACAATATATCAAGATTGGTAGCCACCTTTGTAATAATTCGGTCCACTATTTCCTTTTGCTTTATTCCAACTGCAATTGCTAGCAAGCTCGCTAAAGGTTGTGGATTGTCCTGGAAAAAACAATGCCATACTCGATAAGGAAAGATGGGAAAGGTTTCCATCAGGGAATACAAGAAACCATTTCTGAAAGTTGATTCTGTCTAGTTCTGGACTAGTAGAATAAAATACTCATTTGGATTTTAAATCTACACCAACTTTACAAATTAATTCAAAGACTACATTTTCAATCAATCTAATGAAGACCATATCCACATATTTGAATGCTGTATGTACTCAAGTTCATGTGTCAAATCTTGTCTGAAAGAGTAGACTAACCTTTTTTTTAGGAAACAAAAAAAACAATTAACTATAGTTTAAGATAGTGTAAGTCAACACGGAGCATATTGCTTGTTTTTGCAGTGTACTAATAAAACTTAGAATAGTTCATGTTATCCTATCCCTGGTCTATGATGCAATGTTATATCTTCAATGTCTACCAAATCACGCTTCACATGTAAAGGAACAACACCATTACCATTCTGAGTAATGTGATGCAAATGTAATTGTTATGAGCTAGAAAACTATTATATAAATGACCTGCAGAACTTAAAGACTTTGATGAAGATGAGGTTCCTTGCACCCAGTAACCAATCTGATGAACCTAATGTTCCTTCTCAAATATATTGAGCATCAGAATTGAATTTACTTACATCGTTCAATGAAGAGCCCCATAAAGGCTGCATTTTATAGTTAGATTTCTCGTTAACTATGCCTTGAGGCAATGACACACTTCCAGAAGGCCTGCAACGATCCTGAGCAGAAAAAAGATAGAAATCATAAAGAAATTCAAGTCTTGATGAACCACTTTAAGATCTTTAAAATGTCTTTTCATTTCAAGCTTTTTCTAAAAGAGACAAACCTTGCATTCATCAGATTTCTGCACCGCCTCAATCAATTTCCATGCATTCAGTCTCTGCATGGATGAATACCAGTAGAAGGTCATCCTGTAAGTACGTTTTAGATCATCTAAAAATCTGACACGTTCAAAACAAATCAAGGACAGGCTAGTAAAATTTCAATCACTTGAATCTTTTATGTCAAGAACAGCTTGGTTAGTCTCCAACGAGAGCAGACACACTACACTACATTAGTCTGCAAATGGCCAGATACAATTTCATTTTAAGATCACAGTTCAAGCCTGGATTTTACGATACCAAAATCATATATCCCAGGGGCTTTCAATGTACATAACACCATTCATTCTGAACCTCACGGCAGTAACTTTCCAATTCAAATAAACTAGACAACAATTGCTAAAATACCCAGAAAACACCCCTTGCTTAATTTTCCAGTAACTTTCATATTAAATGAAAGAAACAAAAATTGACAAGATAACCAGAAAATCCCCCTTAGTTAATTTTCCAGTGTTTCTGTTCTTCCCAACATTTCATTCTTCATTACATAATTTTGTCTCTTCATTTAAAGGACAGTCTGTCATGTAGAAATTGACTTCCCTAACTAAAAGCACTAATCAAAATCAACTTCTAAAAAAATTCAATTGAATAGTGACTTTGTATGTGACGAAACGAAGGTAGAAACTCAGAAGAAAAGGCACTTAAAATTTCAAGAACAAAGCTAACATAAAATCACTCTTCTATTTGTAAATAAACCTCATTCAGGCTCTGCCCTAGAATATTAAAATCCTCTTAAAAGATCATGCCACCATCATTTCACAAAAGTAAATTTTAACAAAACACCACCATAAGAGATACTTACTTCCTTGTACTGCTTCCCAACAAATGCAGAACCAACAAAGTAAATGCTACATATCATAGAAACTGCAATGAGGAGACTGCAGAGGCATGATCCTTTCTTAGGATCTGGTGGTGCAGAAGCCTGAGAAGGTAATGGAACATGAAAACATGAAAACTTATAATCTCATTTTGTTTCATGGGAGCAGGACTGTAAATGTCCATGCAAAGGAAAAGAAGTGCATAAAACAAAGATTCAGTAGATGAAAAAGTAGTTCTATAAGTCTGATAAGCATATGAACTCTTCCAGGCATGTTTGATTTTGTTTCATGGGACCAGAGCTGTAAATGGCTGAGAAAAGCAAAAGAGGCGCATAAAACAAAGATTCAGTTGATGAAAAAAGAAGTTCTATAAGTCTGATAATCATGAGCACTCTTCCAGGCATGTTTGATGCATTCACCAATATGCTTCTTAGAGGACAGTCTAACTATACAATACTCAAAATTCTACCAAGTCAGCTTCAATATTAAGAAGCAAGACCAACCAAAATCATATTGAGGTTTGAGTGACCTCCTTATGTCTCTCGTGGTATTTGGTCATGACCCGGAAAAAAAAACAGAAGTCCACATAAAACCTAGATAGTCAACAACTTAAGAAAGCAGTCATCAAGTCATTGACTCCCAACACTGAAATATATAATGAAGTAATTCACAGAAAGAAAAATAAAATCACATCTTGAGTTGATGTCAAGTAGGACATATAACCTCAAATCCAAAACTTAGTTTGTCTCAGGAAAACATCACATGTAATTTCACATCGTCAACCAAACATTTTAGCAACAAATGAGAAACAGTGGTTCTAAACTCTAAATCAGTGGCTTAATTTCTAGACACTGCACCCGTAACCTTAGCATTGCACATATTACTGTTGTGGTATGTCTCTCGTGGTATTTGGTCATGACCCGGAAAAAAAAAAAGAAGTCCACATAAAACCTAGATAGTCAACAACTTAAGAAAGCAGTCATCAAGTCATTGACTCCCAACACTGAAATATATAATGAAGTAATTCACAGAAAGAAAAATAAAATCACATCTTGAGTTGATGTCAAGTAGGACATATAACCTCAAATCCAAAACTTAGTTTGTCTCAGGAAAACATCACATGTAATTTCACATCGTCAACCAAACATTTTAGCAACAAATGAGAAACAGTGGTTCTAAACTCTAAATCAGTGGCTTAATTTCTAGACACTGCACCCGTAACCTTAGCATTGCACATATTACTGTTGTGGTTTATTCCTCGACAATATCTGTCAGAAACTGAATAGCTACACAAAGTATTTCTGTCAAGATTTGAAATTGTCTCACAATCAGTTATAGAAAAAGTTTAGAGGATTGAACACATAACTCTGTAAACTTCAATAAAGACCACAAGTCCTATGTGCAATCATTAAAATATAAGTCCCAATTCAAGCATCAAGACAATTTGAAAACAATGACCTCTTACCTTTTCTTTTTAATATAAGAAACGGCAACAACTTTGGCTAAAACTAAGGTAAAGAAACAAAAAAAATAAAAAATGAAGTTCTACAGCAATAGAAACTCTAACTTGAAATGTTCTGCACTCAACCATGATATAAGAGAGAAAGTAACACTCTAATAAAAATTCCACATTTAAATCACAAATAATAAACCTGAGAGACCAAGATTTTTAACGCTCTCTGCATCTCCTCTTTTTCTCAGCAACCAAACAAAAGGTCACAGAAAAGATGTTTCAATTTCCAAACAAAAGGGTCATCCATCCATTTCCATTTATCCCACCATAATTATGATAAAGTAAAACAAAACAAAATTGACTGCTTTAACCAAACCCGCTGGATAACATCAGCATCCAAATATAAAAATCAATAGGATCAGTACTGATTGAGACTACTTGTCACAAAACAATCAATAGAAACATCTTGAGGATCTGGTGACCTCTGAATATCTCCCATGCTATTTTGCCACCGCCGGAAAATTGAAAGTAGAAGGAAAAGAAAAGCCCTCCTTCATAACCAAACAATCAACAACTTAAAGCGTTCAGAAAGCCATCCTCAAGAAAAAGACCAACCACTCATGAAATATTAACAAAGAATTCACTGCTGGAAAAAAAAAAATCATATCGTGAACTATTACCAAGTAAAACAAACGGTCAGGTGGTGAGAGTAAGAAACAGGTAACAGACAACTTCATCTTGACAAATTAAAGTAGAAAAGAACTGATTTCCAAAGTTTAAACCCGTATTGCAAATATCATCATTTCAATTATTTCTGATGAAAACTGAGCAGCTAAAGGCCACGACTTTTGGTCAAATTTTGAAATTGTCACACGAGTCAGTTATGGCACAAAGTTTAGACAATTGAACATATGAACGAACACTTTAAAGCCCTTCATGAGATCACAAGTCCTGTGAAGTAAATGTTCGAATTCAAGCATCCACTCCTTCCACGATACTAAAGGGATAGAGAGGATTGCCAGCAAAACCTCTTCAATTATGGCTATAAAAGCAAGGTCTAGCTTTATTATTATTATTATTTGGAAAGCCAATAAAATAAAATTTGAACTTGAAAGTTCAATTTGATTTCAAAAAGAGAATAAAAAATTGAAACGTTTTCCAAGGGATCCTGAGATGAACGTTTCTCATGCAAACACAAACTAAAGTCACAATTTTTTAAGTCTAGAAAAGAGAAATAAACACATGGGATGAGACCCCAAAGTTTGAAAGTTCCTCTGGTTCTTCCTCGGCAACCAAACAGAAGGGAAAGAAAAGACGTGAAGAACTCATACTTTCCCATTTAAACAAACATAAACGTATAAAAAGATTTATTTAGAGAGAGAGGGAGAGAAAAAATGCAACAAGTCAAGCTCACAACCACTAAAGATCAATAATTTAAACGAAAAGGAAAAGGGAACGGAAACGGATCACAAAAATCATCCCAAAACCCACCAGACTATGCATGTGAGAGAAAGAGTGAGCTTACACAGTTAGAAGCCTTCATTTGGCTGGAACAAAAATGAGAAGCAGCGCGGTGTCAGAGACAGAAGATGCCCCAGAAAAGATGGAAAGAAACGGAGGAGACCCTTTTTGTATTTCTTGGTTATAAATATTGATAAACATGAAAATGAAGAGCTCTGTAGTTGGGTAAAGCAAAGAGTCTCAAGGAAAGTTGATTAGAGAAAGTAAAGCAGAAAAGGCAAAAAGAAGCCAAAACCCACCAAAAACAAACATTTTGTCAAACTCCCAAACATCTTCCTTCCACGAACGACACCATAATTGTTAAGCCCAAGCAAGGGAGGACACAGGAGCTGAGAGAGTACTTGGTGAGAGACACAAATTATGGAAAGGGCAAGAACACGGACATGCTAGAGAGGGAGGAGAAAATGTAGGGAGAGTGGGGAAGTGCGTAACTTACAATAAGTTAGTTCTCCAACTTAAAATAAGTTATTCCTGAAAAGGAGAGAAAGTGCACAAAAAATATATTAAATTAATACTTTTTAAAATATATCTTAATAATATTAATATCTTAGTAGTGAAAATAAAATTATTTCTTAAAAATTACTATGTACTATATTATTAAATATACACTAAAAAAAACTTTAAAGGAGGAAATATTGATCCTAAATTGATAAAACCTCTATCAATCAACTTAAAAAAAAAAAAATTCATTTATTTCTTTCATTTATTAATAATATGCAATAGTTATTGTAAGATTTTTATTATATCTCCTTTAAGACGCTCTATGATTTGCAACATTTAATTTTATTTATTGTTTTTTATTGGGTCATGATTAATGCCTCCCAAGCCCATATGGTTTTTCTTCATATTAATTAGCATTAGCATGCCAATTATCCAAAATTAATGAAATCATATAATATTGCACAATGAAGATTCCTATAATATTTTAATTTTGAAAAGCTAGGACTAATCACGACTGAATTAATTAATCAATAATTATAAAAAGTGAAAATTAAAATCATAAAAAACACTTTAAAAATATATATTTAATATTTTTTAAAAATAAAAAATAATTTTAAATATATTTTAAAAACTTGTTGTAACATAAAAATAAATACTGGAAATAAACCTCACTAAACAATTATAGAGAATTAATTATTATTTTATTTAAAATTGAGAAAAACCACTCTCAAAACCATGCTGATTTTCTTTTATTATGTGAATAAAATGTATACATATGATATTAAGTTTCAATATGATATTGAGATTTTTTTTGTAAATATAAAAAATTTAATTTTAATTATCTTTTCCTAGTTATATTTTTACCAATTTAGACTTGTTTAATAATGTAATTGTGGTTACTTTTTAAATAATTTTTTGTGCTAAAATATATAGTACTAATTTTTTTATTTTTTAAAAATTATTTTTGACATTAATATATCTAAATAATTTTAAAATATTAAAAATATATTCATTTAAAGTAAATAAAAAAAATTTAAATTTTTACAAAAACACTTCTAAAATACAAAAATAAACAATCACTTAATTTTAATTTTAAGACTTGCTTAACTATTTCTTCTTCTTCTCAAGTAATTATTCAGACAATATATATACACACTCACATCTGATTTATTTATTTTCCATTAGCATATATTGTTCTCAATTCGAGTTCAGATTTTATTTTATATGGTTATTATTATATTTTTTCATCCAAAACAACAACAACAAGAAAAAAACTTATATAATTAATAAAAAACAAATTTTTTTTTTCCAGACCAGAATGTGTCTGAAAGAAGCAATCGTAAGGAGATATGCCTAGAACGAAACATGAACTTTGCATCTGACAGACACGTTACCAACTTGTATGTCTTTATACGCACTCTATGGGCTCTGCCATGGTGGAGAAGCCATTTCTTCGCGGGGATGCCTGCAGCTGGCCCTTCGAAATCAATTGACGCTTCCATCCAAAGGTTTCTGAGTGCTCAGACACAGCTCGCACACTTTGTGGGACTAGTATGCTACAAGTTACATCTTTGGCAACAAAAGGGGCATTGATACCGGTGTCTGATTATTTGAGGGATTGATTTGGCAGTTTGAGTAATGGCCGCGGATCCATCTTCTTCTTACAAATTGAATGCTACTTTCTTAATTTGATAATGAAATGCAGCAGATGGGGTGAGGATTGCTTTCGTTACTTGGATTGAAGATCAGACACACACGGGACATGATCATGTCTTTGTTGGTAATGATGATGATGATGTGAACCAGGAGCATCCGATGCTGATTTTGCACTGGAGTTGTGTTCTGTATGCTGGCATGAACTATACTGCAAGATGGCTAAAGAATTCAGATTTTGATTCATGGTATATTGTGAGTAATATAGTTCTTCTTTTCTGATAATAAATTTTAATTAAATATATCTTTGCAGAAATAGTTATAAAATCAAAACCCACACATAATCTAGCCCAAAGCAAGCTCAGGTGGAGCTGATGAATCCAAGTTTAAATTTTATTTTATTTTCATGTTAAAACAATATTGTTTTGGAAAATATAAAGAACAGGGTTTAGTTTAATAACACTTGTGCGATGATGGTTGGTGTTTAATTTGTTCCTTTGGCTTTATTTTTTGGCTCTAACAGTAAAACTTTTGTGTGATTCTTTATCATATCAGAAAGCTCTAGGACTAGAAAGAGCTTCCATGCTTTCTCCTCTTTCTTGCGTCCTATAATTACGAGAAAACCCCTTCTTCTTCCTCCTCAATAATTCAATGGCTGCTGCTGCTGCATCTTACAAGAAATATGAGACAAGAAGCCGAAACCCAGACCCGAAAACCTCTCTTCTTTTAGTCATCGACGTTCAAAACTACTTCTCCTCCATGGTCAATCCCATCCTACCTCAACTTCTTACTACCATAGACCTCTGCAGACGGTCCTCCATCCCTGTTCTCTTCACTCGCCACAACCACAAGTCTCCCCTCGACTACGGCATGCTTGGGGAGTGGTGGGACAACGACCTCGTTTTTGATGGCACGGTGGAGGCAGAACTCATGCCGGAGATCCGACGTCTTGCGGGACAAAACGAGGTGGTGGAGAAGAACACTTATAGCGCGTTCGAGAACACGGGGTTGCAGGAGCGGCTGGTGGAGATGGGTGTGAAGGAGGTTATTGTGACGGGTGTTATGACTAACTTGTGCTGCGAAACGACGGCGCGTGAGGCGTTCGTGAAAGGGTTCAGAGTGTTTTTCTCCACCGACGCGACTGCCACGTCGGACTTGGAGCTGCACGAGGCCACGTTGAAGAACCTGGCTTATGGGTTTGCTTATCTGGTCGACTGCGACAGGCTTCAAGCTGGGCTCTTGGATAAATAAATAAATATAATATAAATTAATTACTATTTAATCGTGTGCTTTTGTATTTATTTTCTTGGAGTTGAGTTTTTCTCTTCTCCTCTCTTTCCATGAAATGCATGATTGTGTGTTTTATGCAGAAATAAATTAAGGTTTCTTTTGCCATGATTTGTCAAAACTGAAAATTAATAATTTTGATAAAAATAAATATTTTAAAGCATATTTGATATATTCATGATAAACAAGATGTTTCTAATCAAATATACATATAATTTTTCCTTAGAAAAAAAAAACATATATCAAATAATCACATAATAATCCATCACGAAAGAAAGAAATCATCAAACAGAAATCTGAAATCTATCTGTGTGTGTGTGTGTGTGTGTGTAATCGATTAATTGTAACCAAACTTGTTGGTAGCATACTCAAACAAGGATTGGAAATAGCTTTTAGATGATTCGGCATGAGGCAACTTGAGAAAACGAGCAACTTTGGCGAAGCCAGCATGGTGCGCAGTCACAGAGTCATCCTTGGCTTGTAATTTCATTTCCTGCCGGTGAAGTTCCGGTCTTGATAAGGCCCACTGCATTGCCCAGATGGCCAAAGGCCGCATGTAGCATAAAGATCTATACTGGTCAGTGGTGTTCCAACCTTCAGGAGTTTGAAAGGAATATCTGCAGATGACACAACATCAACCTCTTGTTACTCAGCATTCCATGGGTTATATTATATGTGAATGATTGTTACAGTTGAAGTTTAGGGTTTCTGAGCCTACCCAAGTCCTTGTTCAGCCCACACAGCCTCGTAGACTCCACTAGCAGTATGAAATGCCATATCTGTCAGGCCTTCCTGGATCATGGTTGCAGCAACCGCGTATGTGACCCCGGACCATATTTCTCTTGACTGCATGCATGACATGTCAACTGTTCCATCAGGTAGCATCCCATTTACGGCCCCTCGTTTCCCATCCTGCACCTTCAGGACGTTGTAATTATAAATCTTCTCCAGTGCACATCGAGCTTTGTCCTCGTCAACAATAGGCGAAAGTCCGCATGCTCGTGCGTACCTGCCAAGAAAACCATTTACAGTGGAGAAGTTAGAAACCCTAGAACTCTCAAGCATGGACTATTCTTTATCCTGCAAGTAATCTACGGAAGTAATTTCATGTCTGCGTTCTGTGCTTTTGAAAGAACACATAAAAGCTGTTTCTGCTGCTTTCAGAAGCAAGTGGTATGCTTTGGAAAATTAAAGCAAGAAAACGATCTGAAAAGGGCATAATTGAAACACACCATTGTCCGGCCAATTGATCAGCTTGAATGGATGAGCTATTGATACCACCGCTGTTGTCATAATTGAAGTAAGAACCATTCCATAACTTGTCATACACAATCTTTGCCTTCTGAAACCTACACCAAAAATATTCTGCAGAATCCTTGTCTCCTACTTCCCATGCCAGGGCTGATGCAGCCTGTAAGGCTGCCACCCATAGCCCCCCACAATATGCACTAACCCCTGACAAAGACCACGTATCATATGTCTGATCAGGAAAGCCATCGTTCTCAATCATCCCATCACCATCCTTGTCAAACTGATCCATATAAGCCATTGCAACATAAACTGATGGCCAAACAGCCCGTGCAAACTTCTTGTCTCCAGTGACAATTACATCCCTGTAAACCTGGAGAACGAATTTTGGATTCAAGTCTTTCCAGCGGTCAGTGTTGTGGAGGTTATAGGCATTTACTTCAAACCATGGGTCATGGATCCCAATGTCATGAGGGACAGCTCCAATAACCTTTCTAGGAACACGCTGCCCATCGTGTAGCAGTGGCATCATACTGGGATCGTGCATCATAACTGCCGCTGCAAAGTCCCTTTGAATGCTGAGCTGAAGTTTGGGAAACAGCATAATGAAGGCGAAAGATGCATAAAAGTGAACATCATAGGTGTTCCACATGTGATACTCGATCCCTTCTAGATAAAGGAATTGACCAACATTTTCCTCTCCTTCTTGTAGTAAATTAGTTCCAAAAGCAGAATTGGTTGTTAAAGGTGTGTGGATTTCCTCAAGTACAGAAGTCATCCTTCCAAGAATGTCAACAGCAGTATCACCTTGATGGCCTAGGTTGGAGCCTGCCCTGTCGAGAGAAAACTTACTTCCATCAATAGTTGCTAAGCTATGGAATGGAGGGGATCCATCTGCAATAAATAAACAAGCAATTAAAACGTTAACTAGTCAATAAATTGAAAATTCAAGATGTAGAAAACTCGAAAGCAAGATACTCATAAACGCTCGAAGGACTACAAGAGAAGAGGCTCCATCATCCACATACCTGTCCAAATTGTCCCCCCTGAATTAAGATAATAGAGCTCATTAAAGAGAGTGCCAGGATACCTGCAAGGAAGCATCGAAATAACTTCAGGTTCTGGGTTTACATGAAATGAGAAAACACTGCACACTGAAGCTAACCATTCAGGAAGTCTCTTGTCTTCAAGAATTGGTCTCTGCCAGGCTTCTATCTCTGACTCCCAAAGGCCATGCTCTGTTTTCCAAGGAAACATACAAAATAGGGAATTCAGACGAATTTATCTTCTCGCCAGTTCAAGATTATGGTTGCCAAATGTTAACCAATCTCCAGACTTCCAATTCACAGACTGGGTTTAAAATATTTTTGGTCCACGATTGCATATTTTTTAAGCAAAGTGGTATCATCAAAGAGGACCGGATAGGAATTCACCTAGAATAGCATCATGCGCAATATCAGCAGCAGCATCTCCATGAGTACCATAGAATTTTGTGTAACGCCTGTTTATGAAAACTTTTTAGTGTACAGATAACCTTTCAATCTGTAGTCCACTTCAGACAAAGCATTTGGCAACCCACCTGTGGTAAGTCCTTCCACTCCCAAATTTTACGTCAGGGCAGTCCCATGCCAATGAAAAAGTAACTGTACATACACCATCTGGTGGGACCGTTGAAGTCGCTGCAATGGCTGCCCCAATAGATGATCCTGGTTCCGAAGGAACTGGCTTTCCAGGTGAGTTGAGGTTGTCGAAGGACCCATACTATTAAAACACAAAATGCACATCAAGTTTGGTCGAAAATGATGACAGAAACAATAATAATGAGCTGGCTCAGGGTTATTCCTTCTGGATCATCACATACACCACTAGAGCTAAAATAAGGGATTGTGTTGTCTTTCCTCTTTAAAGGAAGGATATCTTCCAAAGCTTTGCTATATTTGGGGTGTGGAAAATGGAAAGCATGAGAAAATCGTTAGTGTTTAGAGAAAGCCTGAAAAGCCATCAGTAATAAAGTATGCATTCACTTGTAGAGAATCAAATCCAGCTGTAATGAAAGCCAAAATGCCCCAACCGTTCTCGATCACACTGGTTTTCAACACGTACTCTCATCATCTTCTTGACTTTTCCATTCAATAAGATTTGAAACGGAGGCTACCTGATTACAACCAGGCCCTATACCACATGAACTAATGCACAGGGGAAGAAATACCTGGTATGTAAGTTCTCATTAAGCAGAATATCTTGTCTGATCGTCACTTTCCCAGTGGAAACTAAATGTTAGTTGTAGATATAAAAGGACCTGAAACATTTGACAAACAACTAGTTCCTAGTCGGGAAAGCATCGCTATTTTTTTGCGAAAGAAGATAGCTAAAACCTGGTGAAAGTACATGCAAATATGAACAGACAACATCCATATATTGTATAACATATGGATGTAATTTTCCGGAATCCCTCATTACGATTTGAAGATAAAAAACCAGTGGGATTTTAAGTAGACATTGTTAGCAGAAGACACAGAGTTAAGCAGTTGAGAATATTTTCATAAAATGAACAAAGTATGAGTATTAGCCAACCTCTTTTACTTCATTCCACATTTCTTTGGCTGTGACACCTTGCGAGTTTCCAGATATCACGAAGCAAGGACATTTTGAGACATGAACAACAGGAGTCTCTTGTGCAGCGATTGCAAAGGATACCGAGGGAAGCTCGTTTGCTGTCCTGTATTAGTAACAAGATGGATTCATTATACGAAAATTTCAACACATGCCACAAAAATATCCCATCAAATCTCGAAATAATATAAATTTCCAAAGAAAGGAACTTACTTGTGATTCAGAAGTACACAATGCACACCATCCTCCATCCTAGAAAATCAATAATCTTGTTGATTAGCGTCAGTTACAAGCATTACGTGCACATCCACATGCTTTATACACAGACACAAAATAAAAGAACATTCATGACAGTATTATATTAACAGTGATACTGGAAATTACAGCAACATAATTTTTTAATATAATTTTTTTTTTTAAAAAAAAAAGCACCATATGCCTTACATGTTTGTTGAGTTGAGGTGCTGACCAGAGAATTCAGATACACCTCCAACGGAATTCTGGAATGGGCACAAACAATAAAGTTGCATGAGTGTTGGTGGCTTCTCAGTTGTCAGACTACTTTGTTGGATCTTGAGACATATATTTAGCAATCATTTGAAGAAATAAACGAAGAAATGATCCACAAAATAGTACACACAATACAAAAGCATCGGTGTAAAGGTTAAAAAAAATGCAAGTACTTACTGCCCATGTGAAAAGCAAGGTGACATCTGCAGAAGTCTCCCCATAATTGTAGAGCTGGAAAAAACATTTCACTCTTAGTAACAGGGTAGACTGTACTGAATCTCGAAGAATCAAACTTTGCAGAGATGCATTCCAACCTTGAAGGTAAAAACTGATGCAGGGAAGCTGCTCTCTTTGTAATTATGAGGAATAATAGGTGAAATTTGACGACAAACAACCCTGAGTTCTGGATCAGGTTCGCCTGCATTTAAAGAGGAGGGCATGGGCATCCAGATATAGGATAGTATATCCAAAACGGCAGGCATAATAATTTGAGATGTATACAACTTGAAATGTACATTACCCTCATATACAGTCCAAGCCCTGGGGTATAAAGCATGATATGTGGAGTTATTTCCCTTCAGATTCCAGTCCCAAGATTCAATCCCTGAGCCTGCAGCTTCTCTGATTACATAGATGACATTCATTAAGTCTATCTTTGACCGTTTTTCGTTTCTTTGTCTATATTTCTATCAAGGTGAAGCTCAATATTAACTGATTTCCGAGTTGTATAAGAA